CATCAGGTTTCAAAATCTTACCCGTTTTATCCAATTCAAGGCAATGTTGGTCTTCAAGGCAATGTGTGGCTTAATGAAAAGACAAACAATGAAGGTGAAATGATAGCTTTTCCTACACCCCCTTCCTAGCCTCCACTCCACCCATGTTCTCACAACTAAGAAATTGAATTCATGCTTTTTTGTTTTGTATTTATAGGAATGATCATGTTCTGCCTTATGTGGTAATTATTTTTTACTTTATTTTGCTACTAGCTTATAAAATCTCATCTTTTTCATCTTTGACTCCTGCTATACAGTGTAAAATAGTCATCAATAAACAAACTGCATTTTATGATCACCCACCCTGTCCTACACATCCCACTGGTCAGGCTTCTCCTGAAAGTCTTCATTATTTGCTGCTGAGAATTCAGAAACTGAGTGGGAGCAGCTACACAAGTTTATTTAGGCTCTGTGGTACCATTGGTAAAAAGACTTTCTCAAAAAATAATCTAAATATTTTTCTTTCTCCAGGAACAATGATTTGAAGTTTCTCGGGACCATGTCTGTAGCCATCTAACTCCCTTCTCCTTTGTTCACTTGACCACCAGGACTTCTGGCTCAACCACCATCAGCAGGTGTGGAGCGCCCCCGAGAGGCCCTTGGCCACTATGGATCAGTCGGTATACATGTGCTTTTGTCTCTGCCACCAAATATTGGTCTAAAGAATTCTGGTCTGTGGAACAAAACTGGTTTCACTCTTCCTAGTGGTTCCAAGTCAAAGAGAACTCACAACAAGAACTGCTCAGCCACTTTGTTCCCCTGGGTATGATTTGAGTCCTGATCTGAGGGTGGGGCGTGGAATTGGGGGTGGCAATAGGGAATGTATGTTAGTTTGATAGATGCCACTCCAGTTCACAAAACATTATTCGATGCCTAAAGAGCTCGTTTTCCTCTAAGGAAGTCATTTAGTAGTGGGGGAAATTAATTTACATCTCACATTTCTGCTGAATTTCTAAATGAATGTCTTTTAATTTAACCTCCTGAATCTTTATTCTCTTTAATCAAGCATTAAAAATAAATTTTTAAAATGTGGGCAATAGAAGGTGTGTCCAATGGGAATAGCACAAAACATTCTAGATTAATGTTTCACCTCCCAACACCATTTCTTCTCTGCTCCTCATCGTTTCTGGAAAAGCAAGAAGTCAAGAGATGTGTCAGAAAAGCAAGCGGGTGTGATTGAAATTAGCCACATAACTGCACATCATGTAGGGCTGGCCTGCCTAACATATCCTGGAAATTACCTTGTGTTCTACCAGCTCCCACATGCCCCAGAAGAGGGACAGATGAAGGAAATTCAGACAAGAGCAAAAACATTATTAAGGAGCTGTGAGGTTGATTTATGAGGAACATTACGAAAGTGAAGTACATGTGGCTTGGTTAAACAATGACTGAACAACGAAGCAATGAATGTCTATGAGTCTACAAAGGAGGAGTGGAGAGAGATGGAGTTGTTCTGGAAGTGATAACATCATAGTCACTGTTTCATTTTTAATATGGGGCTCTGAGTTTTATATTCCTCTTGCCAACTGTAGAAGTAAGTGCCAATATATTTTTAATCTCATAACAATAAAAAATATTAAACAACAGACCTTTACAAAATTTACCCTTCTAAAATGCAGACTATTCTTTTAATGTGTTCTTGGTAGGAGTATTGATTGATAAGTAATAAAAATACAAATAAATCAATTCATAGCATCTCTGAGACAGAGAAGTAAAAATTAGTTTCTGGTGCACATCTGTAGTGAGGGAAAGAGAAGAGAGGAAATAAAAAGGGGGAAACTAACAACAGTACTTGCACTTCATTCCACTGTATTAATGGAATCACCATCATGGTTGGCAACCAAGACCAATAGTTATGAAAATTCTCGAACACAGTATCCCCTGGCTTCCCCCAGAGACTTTACTGACTGGAGGCTTATTTAAAACAAGAGAAGATCACCATCTCTAGTCTAACCTTCTAACATTCAGTGCCAGGAAAGTCAACGAGAAGGGACATGTCGGAAACAGATGGGTCATGTGTGAGAGGACCAATTAAGCTTCTACTGATATGGAAGAACAGACAGCTTCCAGCTCCTGCTCACTCATCTTAAGCAGAGCAAGAACAAATGACAAACTGAAAGTGAGGTTTGCAATATCCCAAAAGGCCTCTCCCTGGTGGCACAGGTGGTTGAGCGTTGCACTGTGAAGCTGTCCACAGCCTCTGCAGTGCCAGTTCGATCCCCATCGGTCTCAGAGCAACCCACATGGCTAGCAGATCTCTCCTGTCTCGCCCGCTGCTCCCCTCAGCAGTGTATTTCATCAGTCTGCTGTTCTGTTCCCCACTCTGTCTCCGGTGAATCCTCTCACCCTCCCTGACCTGTACCCCAGCACTTGTATAAATAAAAAATAAATCTTTAAAAAAAAAATCTCAAAAGGCCCCAATTGTCCATCTCTGAAGTAGGCACTGGGAGTGCCATGGAGAACATGACTTGCTCCTGTCCTCAAAGATCCTGACAAGAAGACTGACATGGAGGGCCTCCCCGGTGACGCAGTGGTTGAGCACTGGGTTGCGATGCTGCCCGCAGGCTCTGCGGCGCCGGTTGGATCCCCGGCTGCTCCCCGGCCACCAGAGGAGGGTCCCACATGGCGCGCAGACCTCTCCTGCTGCCCGCTGCTCCCCTCAGCAGTGTACTTCGGTCCATCTGCCTGTTCTGCTCCCCGCTCTGGCTCTGGTGAATTCTCTCACCCTCCCGCGCTTCTGACTGTACCCAGTGCTTGTATAAATAAATAAATGAATAAATAAATAAATCTTTAATTAAAAAAAAAAAAGAAGACTGACATGGAAACACATATCATAATAATTCAATGAGTTGGAAACATGTATCATAGTAATTCAATGAGTTAAGAGAATAGAAAAGCAAAGGGTAGCAGGCCTACACAAAGGACCAAATCTACCCCATTATGAGAATTCAAGCGATGTCCTGGAATCAGCAAAGCACATAACCTGATCCAACCATCATCAGATGGCTTCACTCTCAAATTTCAATTGCTGACTATGGAGATTCTTACACAGGAACACTTACAGCAGGTCCTTCCTCCCCACTACCACTATGTGCTAATCCCCATATGTCACCTTTCTTATCTCCTTCAACTGGCCCAGGATGAGCTCATCATCCAACTCCTTGCTTAGAACTTTCCAAATTGAACACAAGGGAATGGGGCATTTTCTCTGTGGTGATAAGGTTATAGAGAATGTATATACATAATTAGGGAGAAATTAAGGATGGCACTTCCCTTGCCTGGAAGAAGCTGGTCTTTGGTGGGTCACGCTAAACCTGGCACCCAGGAAAACTATGAAGATAGAGAAATGGAAACCTGGTGGCTCCCTGGTCCTGCTCCTAGTTGCCTCTGAGACCTCACAGAGACATTCCCCTTCTGTTGCTACATGAAAAACCACAGCAGGGCCTCCCTGGTGGCGCAAGGGGCTAAGCACAGCACTATGAAGCTATCAGCAGCCACTGAAGCACAAGTTCGATCTCTGGCTGGCCAGAGAGCTACCCACATGGCACAGCAGACCTCTCCTATCTTGCCCACTGCTCCCCTCAGCAGTGTATTTCAGTCAATCTGCCTGTTCTGCTCCCTGCTGTCTCTGGCGAAACCTCTCACCCCCTGCACCTCTGGCTTACACCCTAGCTCTAGTATGCATAAATAAATAAATCTTTAAATAAAAAAGAAAACACAACATCCTTTCCTTGAAATCCTCTTGCCAAAACTAGTTCCGGCTTGGTTTCTATAACTTGAGATCAAGAAGTCTTACTAGCAACTCACATCAGCCATGATTTCTTCAGTCTCAACTTTGTCTTAAAGTTACATTTAAGAGTTTGTCTGACAGCCATGCTGCCAGTTTCTCCTTGTTTTATCTATTCACACCTAGAAAAACCATGGCCAATATTCTTACCTCCCCATTAGCTGTGCTGCTAGCTCTACATCTCAGCTTCCCAAAGCCAGCTCTGATTTCAAAGTACATCAATGCTGTCTAACAAGAGCACTCACCAGAAAATCCCACTGAGTCCATCAAGGGTGGGACCCAGGAACCTATACTTTTAAATATAGGCTCAAGTTTATTCTGATGGAAGGCTCACTAGGCCAGACAACCCATTTTCTGATATCTAGGTGAATATGCAAGATATGGCACAAGCTGTCCAGTCTCTCACACAACTTTGAATACTGCTCAGTCCGGTTTTGCTCAAGGAAATCAGAATTATTAAAAGCTTGGAAGTCCATGCGAGCCATTCCAAGCTGCTCAGAGAACAGTCCTGAAGGGACTTTGAAATGACCTCATGGAGGGCAGGGTGGGGGTGGGGGAGCCAGGGCAGGCCTGGTCCCTTCCACCAGTTGCCTTTGATTTTTTTCATACTGGAAGTGGATGAGGTCAAGGCAATTTGTTTCTTTTTAAGGTCTAGAGTTACATCACAGGCCCATATAATTTTTCTTATAAAGTCTCCTTCCAACATAACTATCCTCCAAGGAGCTGGGTCTAGTTATCCCAGAGGGAGGCAGCAACAGTGCTGGAGTGCAGGAGAGGGAGAATTGCTTTTAAATCCATCAAGCAGTGTCACCTCTGGAACAGTCCAGTTCTTGTCCTCATGAGAGATGACAAAAGGTTTTTGAAAGCAGATGCCAGGAAGGAGAGGGGTTTGATTTGCTGCGGGGTGAGCCAAGAAATGCAAATACCTGCCTTGCTGTTTCCTTCCTTCCCTGAGACCCCACCTAATAACCTCCCAAAGGTGCTTGGATGCTGGCAGGTCTTGCATGACGTCAGGCCAGATACAACAGGTGTTTCAAGACTTTGCTCTTCCTGGAAGCAGGTTTATACGCACCTCGGGCTCCTGTGCTGAAAATTGTATTATTTTTATTTCTACTAAACCTGTGACATCTGGAGCTGAAGAATCAGTAGAATTTGAAACGATTAGTGAACTTACTCTGCATTGGGCACATCGCATCCTCCATCCCAGCACGGCGATTTTTTCCACAGCCTCCCCCAGTGGACCCCCCTTTTCTCTCTAGGTTTTTCTCTCGCTCCCCTCCGCCTCTCTCCACACATTCAGAGAGTGCCCTAAACGGTGACAAACTTGCATGTGCTTCCCTTATGACCGCATCCCTGGGCTTCCAGCCAAGCCCCCACAGATGGCCCCAAACTGAAGGCATCCCGTTAGGAGAGCCCCGGTGTTCGCAGCCGGACTTGGAAGGGCCAGGGAGGAGAATCCGTGAGGAGTGGCGGTGTCTTCCTCCTGGGGGAAGGCAAAGCAGCTTCCAGGAGGAAACGGGCGTTTCCTTCCCACGCGCTCAGAACGCCCCGAGTCCTGGCCTCCGCGCTCCACCCAGCCCCTCCCGGCGCCCTGGGAAAAGCCGGTCGCCACACACAGGCACACGCAGGCCCCTGCGCCGCGCCCTAAGGAGAGCTGCACCCCAGGCCAATTGCTATGGCAACCCCGGGGCTCATTCCGTTCCCCACCCAGGCGATCCCCCCTCCCCCCTGCGCTGCAGCCAACCGGCTTGTGCGCGTCCCTGGAGCGCGCTATAAAACCTGCGCCGGTGCCTCTGGGCGGGAGCGCGGAGCAAGCCTGGAGCGAGGCAGGCGACAGTTGCCAATCTTTACAGAGGAGTAAGTCCCGTTTAAAAAAAAAAAAAAAAACGGGAGGAAAACGCCTGAGCATGCAGAGTGCAAAGACCATGAGTCTCTGTCTGCCCAAGCAGTGCCTTTGCCTGGCCTTCCTGCTCCTCCACCTCCTGGGACAGGTAAGGCCCCCAGGTGCCCCGGTTCCTTTGTTCCCCGGGTTGTTCCACCTTCGACAGTCTCTGGTGAAGGGTTTCTTTTTCTTGTCTCGTCGGTCTCCAGGTCGCTGGGACCGGGCATTGTCCCATTCCGTGCCCCAGCTCCTGCCCGGAGGCACCGCGCTGCGACCCGGGGGTGAGCGTGGTGAGGGACCGCTGCTCCTGCTGTCTGGTGTGCGCTCGCCTGCGCGGCGAGAGCTGCTCAGAGATGCATCCGTGCCAGGAGAGCAGCGGCCTCTTCTGTGACCACAGCGCCGACCCCAGCAACCAAACTGGCATCTGCATGGGTAATCCTGCCCCTCTCCCCGTGACCTCGCCTGCAGCTAGCTGGAGCATCCCCAGCTTCTCCTTTTCCTCCCTCTTCCCAGAGGGTGATGAGATGATGATGTAGGTGATGTTTATGGAGCGCTTACTGTGCCTCAGGCACCATCAGGGTTGCCTGGGGTTTTGGGGAGCTCCAAACAGCCAGAGAGGGAAGGTGCTCCTACCCGCAGGTGAGAAACTTCCATCACTTGCCTCCCTAGATAAGAATGTGGATGGACAGGGAGACAGCAGAGTTAAGGCTGGTGAAGTCATTTCTTTTGGACATTTCTAGGGGGCACAGGTGGGGATGATGGAAGTTTTGCCTCCTCGCAAGCTCACAGTACCCCCAATTGCAACCCAGCAGGTCTGTTTGCACACCTGTAATTGTCCAATTACCGCCAATGCAATTGGTCTCCTGGGGTGACTATGTAAGCCCTGTCTGGGCTGTGAGTAAAATGAAATGCAGGCAACCAGCCAGTTCAAGCTGGTGAAACGCAATGAATCAGGGGTCAATTTCCCACCTAGCGCACCACTTGCTGGAGGCTGTCCCTGCTTGGCTGGATATGAGGGCTTGGAATAGCTTTACTTTCTTCTCTGAGCTAGCGATGATTTCCTGTTGGCACGCCTGGGAATTCTAACGCCCTCCCCATTTGACCAGTCAATCTATTTGAAGAATAAGAAGTTTCCTTGTTTTTCTTTTTAATTCTAAAGTGCTGAGTAGAAGAACTTAAGGTTCTGGCAAAATGGCTTAATCATTGGGAACAACAGCTGTGAAGCGTCAGAAGTGTCACTCGACAGCTGTGCCCTGAGTGACAGGACTGGGTGGTCTCAAAGTTTTCTTCTCCAGCTGGAGTCCTCCCTGAGGACACCTCTCTCTTGAGAAGGAGAAGAAACCCAATTGCCTCGACTAGAAAAAAAAAAATGACAGGACTTCGAGCACCTGCTGCAAATCTTATAGAGCCTCTCCATGTATGGTGTTCTTATTTCTCTCTCCCCCGCCCTGTCCCTCTCTCCCTGCTTCCCCAACATTCTAGCCATAGAAGGAGACAACTGTGTGTTCGCGGGGGTCATTTACCGAAGCGGAGAGACCTTCCAGCCCAACTGCCAGTTCCAGTGCACCTGCCAAGACGGCCAGGTGGCCTGCGTGCCCCGCTGTGACGAGGATGTGCTGATGCCAGGCCCCGAGTGCCCGGCCCCCAGAAAAGTCAAGGTGCCCGGCGAGTGCTGTGAAAAGTGGGTCTGTGACACAAATGACACGTTACAGGACTTCCTGACTCTTCCAGGTGAGAAACTCGAAGGTGACCGTGGAACAGGAGAAAGCCAGGCAGGAAGCAGGTGTGTCCGTTCGGATTTGCCATGAGACGCTTGTCTCGGTTTCTGGCCATTCGGTGGTGGATTCCACATTCCCCACTGAGATCAGACACATCACGAGTTTGAATCTCAGTCAACTTAGAGACGTCTGCACGGTTTTTCCTTACAAGACCTTGCCAGGCTCTTTTCAGCACTAGGGCTGCTTTTGTCTTGTTACATGGCCCTTTTTATATTTAGTGTGTTTCACTGGACCCTTAGTAGCTTGACAAAGATGAAAAGTTAAAAAAGCCATTTTTTGCTGGATGCTGTTATCTACCTGTGTGGTCTCGAGCCCAGTCTTCCTAAAGAGGCTTACTTTACCTGTGAGCAAGTGCCATGGGAAATTGTCACCTTTCCAGACACTATAGGGAGGATCTTTGTTTTTGGTTTTGTTTTATTTTATATAAGAAAAAAATTGTTGGAGTTTTTTTCTGAGGGGGGAGATGGTAACAAAACTTAACAGCCAGTAGAGAATATTGAAGCCATTATCAGTCAGATTATTTATAACAGCAATATGCTAAGCTTCACGATTTTTCAGATGCCAGAATATTATAAGCCATGCCTTACAGCTAGGAAAAACTGCCATGTGGCAGAGATGAGCTCCACATCCTGCATTTTAAGTGTCAATACAGAATTTTTCCTAAGCAAAGGGCCTATATCCCTTAACCCAAACACCCAGTCCCGCCTCCTGGAGGCACAGTATTGCTTTCATCATCATCCTTACATTAGCCCTACTTACTCATCCCTTAGAATTTTATCATGATCCCATTTCTGTGCAAAATCACATCCTGAAACTTTTGGTTTCTGGAATGGTTGTTGATGCTAAACTGTTCTATATTCTGACATCCACTAAGCTTCTTAAAGACAGGTTGGACAGTTACATTTTTTTTAAACATTTATTTATTCATGCATACAAGAACCAGGTAATAAGCCAGATGTGCAGGAGGGTGAGAGGATTCACCAGAGACAGAGCAGGGAACAGAATAGGCAGCAGACTGACTGAAATACTCTGCTGAGGGGAGCAGCGGGCGAGACAGAAGAGGTCTGCCCCACCATGTGGGTATCTCCCAAGCCGCCGGGATTGAACTCACACTGCAGAGGCCACGGACAGCTCACAGCACTGCGCTCAACTGCCTGCGCACCAGGAAGGCCCGACAGTAACATTTCTTAAGAGTCTGCAGTGTGCTACCTGATCCAATCCTGTCTCCTGAAAGCACCTGAGTTTAGTAGATACAGAATTGAATGAGCCCCTCTTTTTCATGATGCTTGCAAAGCATCACTTCGTGATCCCCATATTTTATTCAGTAATGCTGTCTTTATGTCAACCTCCATAGCCTACAGGTCAGAAGCCACTGTAGGAGTGGCCGTCTCTGATTCGAGTGTCAACTGCATTGAACAGACCACAGAGTGGAGCGCGTGCTCCCGGAGCTGCGGCATGGGGGTGTCCACACGGGTGACCAACAAGAACCAGCAGTGTGAGATGGCCAAGCAGACCCGGCTGTGCATGGTGCGGCCCTGTGGGCAAGAGCACAGACCACCACGAGATAAGGTAGGAGAGCCTGGAGGTGCCTTCCCTCACAGAGGAGGGCCCCTGTTTCCTGGGGCCTGTGCTGTGGAGGGTCACTGTGATACTGCCAGGCCCAGAGGTAAGCTCTACCTGGACATTCAGAGAAAAGGCAGAGAGATTCCTGCAGGGAGTGAGTTTACCTCTTTTTTTTAAGATTTATTTTATTTATTTTTGCATACAAGAGCTGGAGTGTATAGGCCAGAGGTGTGGGGAGGGGAGAGGAGAGGATTCACCAGAGACAGTGTGAGGAGCAGAACAGGCCAGTTGAAATACACTGCTGAGGGGAGCAGCAGAGGAGACAGGAGAGGTCTGCTGCGCCATGTGGGTCAGCTCCCTGGCTGAGGATTGAACTTGTGCTGCATTGGCTGTGGATAGCTTCGTAGTGCTGACACTTATCCTTGTGCCACCAGGGAAGCCCCTACCTTCTTTTTTAAATCCCCCTCCAAGAAGCTCAATAGTTCCACCAGTAAAGAGACTGGAAGGGTAATATAATAATTTCCTCAATTGAGAAAGATCTAGCAAATCTCATTCTGTTCCTGAAGAAAACTAGGAATAGCTACATGGTTGTTAAAGCATGGTTGATTTGGGAGAGGTCATTTCTGGCCTCAGCTTTCGCCTCTCTTTAGGTTTTCTGGAGAAAGCAACACTCTGCCTTACTCACTTACTCCTCAGTTCCCAACATTCTACCTAGTATATGCTGTGTGCTGGATAAACAATTGATGAATCAATGAATCAGTATCTGGGAATTATTTTCAATATTTTTAAAAGCCTAGTGGGAACAGTACACTTGCCAGCATAAGGTGGTGTGTGCCAAATAAAATAGCACATTTCTTTCCTTTTTTGCTAGAATTATATCAACTTGGTGTGGTAACACTGAGTACAAGATAAGCAGATCAGAAGCTCTGATTGGTCCCTAATGACATCACAGGCTTGTTCCCAGAGTCATAGACCTAACAAAGTAATATCCAGGTTGAGCTATTACATGGACCCTTGTACAAACCTGTGGCCAAAATAGAACAGTCCCGTGCAATGAATGACTTATATATCCCCTCAATGAGGCAAGATCATCTCCTGTTTCATGCAAGTCCTGAGCCAGACAGCTTGACTTTCAGTCCTGGCTCCCCAGGTGAACTAGCTGCGTGATCTGGGACAATGCCTCATAAGCCTCAATCCTGCCTCCAAATAGTGGATCCAATGGCTTTCTCTAGCACAAAGTTGTCATATGATTAAACAGAATGAATTTACAAAGTGCTCTATAAACATCAGACATCATTAAAGTTCCTATTTATTTGTAAAATTAAAGTCTTTAGTGTTTAGTGCATTAGTTACAAACACTGCTACTTAGCTATATGACTTTTTGAGATCCATCCTAACTTTATGTTTCTTCCACCAATTTAGAAAGAACACCTTGAAACACCTTATCCCTAAAAGTGTATGCTAGAAGCCACATCTCTTGACTTTGGGGAATTCTTCCATATGTGTAAGACAGTCATGCAAGTTTTCTTGTAAGAATCATGCAATCTTTCTCTCACATTCACACACACACACATACTCACATACACTGTACATGTGCACACACACACAGATGTTGCTGACTATTTTGTGGATGTTGGCAATATACATTAAATATTACAAACAAATGAAAAAGGATATGAGCCCTAGTCATAGTGAACTTGAGGAATTCCAGGCAGATTAGGTCTTTATCATCAATGACAGAAAGTCATGACTTCTAATGAGTACAATTTATAGTGACTATTTGATTCCACAAAGACCTTGAAAACTAGCATTAGAATGATTCTAATTCTGATTTTAGTTATTTCAAGCACTCTTTTACAGGTCTTTCCTCCTCCTGTGTAAATAACTAGTCTAGCCTCAGAATATGGCAGACTTCAATCACACTGCTTCATTTCTACCCTATTGATAAAATTTTCCCATAAATCACTTCTGTGTAATGTATTGTCTGGTTAGAGTTGATTCTTCCAGATATTCCCCCAACATAGTGAAGCTAAGTCACTCCAGACGTCTGCATGACGTGTTGGGATATACACTTGTGATGATACGAACCTCAGGGTCTCTCCTAAATAAAGCCAGTTGCCGGAATGAACAAGAAAAAAGTTATCTATAACCATTATTGGAGAGCTAAAGATAGATCGATCCATAAATAAACAAGAAGAAACAAGGAATCCTTAAATATTGTCAAGGACACACTAACTTTCATTTAAGTAAGGCTCATGTCATGCCCCTGAAATTTTGCTTCTTCTGTTCTATTACCAAAATTTGTGTTTATTCTTATAATTTGATGATATTTATCTATATAGTATGTGTGTGTGTGCACACGCACGTATTCCAGAAAGTAGGGAAATATTAGCATACTATTAACATTACTTCCTTGTCACCAAGAAGTTCTTTATTGTGAGACAGTGCTTCTCAAAGTGTGGTCCCAAGACCAACAGCATGAGCTATAAACATGTTAAAAGGCAGATTCCTGGGGCCCAGATCAGATTCACTGAATCTGAAACTCTGGGTATAAGGCCCAGCATTCTATGTATCAACACACCCTCTAGGTGATTCTGATACACACGAAGTTTGAGAGCCATTGCTTTCAGAGAATTCCAAATCTCATCATTCTGCAAGCTGTATCTAAGATGGTAAAGAGCAGTGAATTATGACAAATTAGTAGGTGGAGAAATCTAAGTGGGAAATAAATATATGGCCAATTCTGTATTGGTGTTCCTCATCAACCATTACTAATGGAATATTGAGTAAATTCTCCACTTATTTGGCTTCGATGGAAAATAATCTTACATTCCATTCAAATTCCCCAAGGTCACAGTACAATAGAAAGAATGGACTTTGCATAAGATAAATTCCATGTCTAATTATTTCCAGCTCACTTTGGCCCTATGCGACTCCATTTATTGATCTACAAAACTTGGACAATCACTCCTGTGAATAATTGTTCTTTTTATGAGTTTATGTCGTTAGTATGGTTAAGTGAATTAAGGTCTGAAAACTATTTGAAATATTAGTATTTGCAATGATGCCAGAGGTATTCCCTTCCTCTTTATAACATCTAAGAAAGCATCTAGATAAAAACAATAACAAAACTTGTTACCCTAACTTGAATTAAAAAATAGGTCTCTTTATTACCCATCTGGTTTCATCCTCAAGCTTATCACAAGATAGTTGTATCTGATGAGGCGCAGTATCCACATTCTAGATGGGAAGAGAATGAATGCATAACCAATACAAAACTGCATCTGTCTCTCTGAAGGGAAAAGGATTTCCAGGAATCCCTTGGCTTGTGTATCACTGGTCAGAACTTTGTTAAAAGGCCATTAAACCTCTTAGATATTCTGGGGAAGCAACTGCTTTTATTTTTTTTTAAGATTTATTTCTTTATGCATACAAAAGCTGGGGTGCAGGATAGAGATGCAGAGGGGTGAGAGGATTCACCAGAGTCAGAGTGGGGAGCAGAACAGGCAGACTGACTGAAATACACTGCTGAGGGGGGGCAGCGGGTGAGACATGAGAGGTCTGCTGTGTCATGTGGGCCACCTCCCTGACTGGGGATCAAACTCATGCTGCAGTGGCTGCAGATAGTTTCATAGGGCTGAGACTTAACCTCTTGCTCCACCAGGAAGGCCCAGCAACTACTTTTAGCTGACCACTTACCCAAATGAAATGAATGTCCCCTTAGCAAAGAAGAAAGAGCAATAGGTGTAAGGAGGCAATTAGCAGGTTACTCCCTACCAGTAAATAAAAGTTGCTCCAAGGAACGGTAGCCATTCCATGCATCACTCTTTTACTTCTTTCGTAGAAAGGAAAAAAGTGCCTCCGCACCACGAAGTCACTCAAAGCCATCCACCTGCACTTTGAGAACTGCACGAGCCTGGAAACCTACAAGCCCAGGTTCTGTGGTGTCTGCAGTGACGGCCGCTGCTGCACCCCCCACAACACCAGAACCATGGATGTGGACTTCCGGTGCGCCCCAGGAGAGCTCGTCAGGAAGTCAGTGATGTCCATCCGGACCTGCACTTGTCACTCTAATTGTCCTCAAAACAATGAAGCCTTCCTCCAGGACCTGAAGCCAAACACCAGCAGAGGGGGCATGTAATCTGTCCCCCTCCGAGAAGCACAGCTACAGAAGCAAATGGTCACTTGGCATGCCCACCATCATATGAATAGTCAAAAATTGCCAAGAATTATTCTTTCACCCCGAGCCCTATGTATTTTCTGTGGTCATATGAGGTCAGTTATATGTGTCTTTTTTTTTTTTTTTTAATGAAAGATAAGATTAACTGTAAACTTGGAATCAAAGTAAGCTCAGGATTTGTCTTTGGAATGACTAACTTGTCTGGGACATTTGCTACAAAATAAGATGGCTATGCATTAAAAAAATCAGATAGAAATTTTATGTTGTAGACTGCATTACATTGCACTCATTTTGTCATCCATTAGTGCAATTTTAAGAAAATGTCACTGGAAGGAATGACATAGTGAAGTCCAAGATCATTCAAAACATGCCATCATGCAAGTATTTTGAGATTTGACTGGAGGGCTCTCTGCTGAGCTCTCTTATGAAATAGCTCAACCCTTAAATTCCAAGTCCAGGGTCTGAGGAAACATAGAGCTCTTCATCTTCAAATCCAGAGACTATTGGTTTCCTGTTTAATTGCACAGTAGAAAACGTGCTGTATCTACAGTATACGATGATTGTGAATTAAATGAACGCTGCCATAACATGCTCCGTTTCAGATAAATGAACTCCTTTCTTCCAGTAGAAAGCAGCTAACAGAAAACTCCCCCTAACACAGAGATGATGGGGCCTGACCAGCCTCCTACATTGCCTGCCTGAGTCCACTAGGGGCCCCTCATTTTTCAATCAGAAGAAGCAGAGCATGTCAGCAGAGAGCCACTCTTCTTCTTATAAGGAAACTGAGGCACAAAGCACCTGATGACAACCTTGGATGACTTTCAAATGGGTTTGTAGTGGAATTTTGAAAAAGAACAAAATTGACGTGGCTGTGGTGACAAGATACCACAACTTTTAGAGGAGCTTAGAATTACTATAGACATGTCCAAAACTCATCCTTGGGCCATAATTATGCAAACTCATCCACAAGATATATATGTACACATGTATCTGTCAGGCTACAAGATAAGGTGCAAACTTAAATGTTTACGTTTTTCTCATGTCACCATATGTGTTCAGCTTTTCTCCTTTGAAGTATTTATATAAATGTAAATTATATAAAATATTCTTTTTACTTCCTCTACTTGTTAGATATAACTAAATAAACATTATCTTTATCAATGTGTGACTTTGTTATTCATGTGCTTGTCACTTGTTTATCAAATATATTAATAGAAATAAATTTAAAAATTGTGAATTAAATCAGACACACAATGACAGCATCAATTGAAAGTCATCAGTGACTATTTTTAGATGAGCTTAAAACGTCTTAGCAGAAGGGAAACAAAAGGCAGGTCTTACTACTGAGTTAGGTGATCTCTACTGCCCAGATCTCAAATATTCTCCACACTTTTAACTAAAACGAATACCTCAAGCCCTGATATTTTTTCATAATTTTTTTAAGTAACATTGCATTATAACATTAGGGAAGTTTCTGGTCTGCGTCATTATAAATCAACATGTCCGTGTCTATCTTACTATACCATTGCTCTATTATTTGATTTTTCTACCCTACATCCCCTCCCCTTCAGGTAACCATTTGTTTAGTCATGCAATCTAAACAGTTGTGTTTGCTTTATTTAGCTTGCTCATTTGTTTATTTTCTCTCTATATCGCATATGAGTGAAACTACACCATGTTTTTCTTTTACTATCTGACTTACTTCACTAAACATAGTACCCTCCATGATATTTTTTTTTTCTGGGCAACTTGCTAAACTCCTCTAGTTATTCAGAATTGAACTTGCTGTTGAACTAAATGAAATTCACCTCTCTAACTTCCTTATCTAGTAAAGGACACACCATCCTCCCAATTACCCAGCTTAAATTTCTAGCATTATTTTGATAAGCCTGATCTTGCGGTGTGGCCAGAAAAGGCTATTCCCAGTGCTATGCAGGGCAGGGCCCTGGGCAGGGCTGCCAGCTGGGCAGGGTGAGTTTCTGAGTTAATGGGAGCTTTGTGTTTTAGTTTCTGGTGGATGCAGTGAGTGTATAAGTTCTTCCACTAAATAAAAATTTTACAGAGCCTCCCTGGTGGCACAAAGGGTTAAGTCGCAGCACTGTGAGGCTGTCCGCAGCCACTGCAGCAGGCCACAAGTTCCATCCTGATCCCCACCGGGCCAGGGAACTAGCCCACATGGCTCAGCAGACCTCTCCAGACTCACCGCTGCTCCCCTCAGCAGTGTTGTAGGGTAAATGGTTTTTCAGGCTTTTCTGCCCTCCCACCAATAAGATTGCCCTGCCTGATGGGACACCTGCAGTTGTGACATTGCTGCAAGCTAACCTGTTTATTTCTGTGAGCCATGGGAGGCGTATAGGATAGTCACTAAGAGAAGAAGCAGCAGGAGAGAGGCAGGGCAGAAGGGGGGAAAGAAGCCAGAGAAACCCAGAGTGAAGACTTGCTGGGGGCTTGGAGGGCTGCCTGCCTACTGGCCCCCCACCCACACACACCCACACCCCCCACACACTCCTGCCTGCCATGTACGTCAGTTGCTGCGATGCATGTAAAGCTGAGAAAGCCACTGAGGGCTCTAGGACTCCTCCTTTACCCACCGGGTCTGCTTGGATCCTAGAAAACCTGCTCAGTGCCCATCCTGCCCCTGCAAGTGTATTTCAAGTAGATCCTCCTGTTCTGTTCCCCAACTCTGTCTCTGGTGAATCCTCTCACCCTCGCATCGCAACTCTGGCCTGTACCCCAGCTCTTGTATGCATAAATAAATAAATCTTTTTAAAAAATTTCCTATTCTTGTATTCCCAACTTCACTTCCCTTATGTGCAGCCTCCTGCCACCCATCTCTTAAGCTAGTTTCTCTGTATCCTTTAAGACAGCTTGGAAAACAAACTTGTCTTCTAAGTTTTTATTCAAAGGGAATTATCAAGGATCGCTAACAATTATCCCACACTTTATGTTGAGCACTTTATTTTATTTAATATTCACAGTAGCCCTACAAAGTACAGTCTTCCCCATTTTACAGAGGAAAAGACTTCAAAGATTTAAAAATAAATGGTTAAAAGAAATAGAGATCTAGAACTCAAACCAAAGTCCTGTTGCAATACCCACACGTGAACAGCCAGGCTGTTCAGCCTAATGTTGCTCATCATGACAAAAATGGAAACCTCACAGTCCAAAAACACAGATTTGGCTAGAAAAATTCTAGTGCCTCTTTTATGATGAAGAACAAAACAATCTTAAAAATAAAATTGTCAAAATATTTACCCCAAAAGCATCTATGAACATGTGATAAAGAGAACTAGAAAAGACTGTGCAACAAAATATTTTTAGGGAGCCTATCAAGTAAGCCCTATTTTCCCCCATTTTGTGGTGTCTTTACTAGCTTTATTTTAACTGAGAATATACTTCCTTTATAGCCAAGAGGGGGAAAGATAAGGGCTTTTGGATATTCCCATAAGCACAGCTCCTTCATGCCTCTACTCCTTCTGGCAATGGGACTTTTGCATCCAGCGTCTCAAATTCGTTCATTCATTTAGTTCATTCAAAAAATACTGACTACTTTTGTTTTAGCTTCTGAGAATATAGCCTCAGATAAGACAAACAATAAAATAAGTCACTTCTCCCTAGAATTTACAGCTGTTGGCAAAACAGACAAACAGCAGTAAAAATCAAGAAAGAAATGTCGACAGTGACGAACCTTATGAAGGTCATCCTAACAGGGTGCTATCATGAGAGTTCTGGGTGGCTAACTCAGAGATGGTTCGGGAAGTTCTTTCTGAAGAGGTGTTATTCCACCTGAATGGCTCAGATTAAGAGAAAGAATTTTCTAAGCATAGGTAAAAACTAGCAAAAAAAAAAAAAAAAAGTCAGGATCTGGAATAAGGGTGGAGCTTTTCTAGTGAAGGTCTACATGGCAGGAAGAGTGCATGGGAAGCAATAGGGGTTGAACAATGGACTGGGCTCAACCTCACAGGGCTTGCCTCCCTGTCATAATTCTCACACTATTTGAGAACTGTTCTTAAAACCCCATGACATTGACTAGCTTGACCACAAACATTTAGCCTTCTTTGTGGCTGCCCAGTACTAGCACACAGTAGGACCTCACTGTACATATGTTGAGTGACTGAATGAATAATCCTTATAATACATTGGCAAAAGACAGAACATTCTTTGAAATAAATATCAGACTTTTAATGTCATTTTCATTATCACTGGGAAAGCAATTCCCCTACTCTCTCTCTCTCTCTCCCTCTCTCTCTCACACACACACACACACATTCCTGAAATTATAATGAAAGACAGTTGAAAAATGTGATCCTATCTGCAAAAATATTTGCTAAATCCAGAATGTTCTAGTAATACAGAAAGGAAAGCAATATTTATTGAGCAGAGCTGAGGGTTATAGAAAGATCGCAGGTTTGGAAGCTGTTCAAGATGGGCTTGAATTCCATACCTACCCTTTCCCAGCTGTGGATGTTGGGTAATTCACACCTACCCTCTGAATTACAGTTTCCACAACTGTAAGATGCGCCCATAATATCCAGAGAGTGACCAGCCCCTTTCCTGTGTCTGGAATGCAGTTTGTCCTTGGGATATAGGAGTTTCAGTTGTAAAATCAGGACATTGCCAGGCAAACAGGCATGATTTGGTCTCCCTAAGTATTAACATATTTATTGTAAGATAATAAGCACTTGGCTGTGCCAGGCAGAGAAGGCCTGCAAGTGACAGTCACTATTTAGTAAGTATCTAGTAGAGCCAAGCGCTGCCCTTTATTGTATGTGTGTTAAGTTCAGAGGTAGATTATCACTGACCTCATTTTAAAGGAAAGCAAGGAGACCCAAAGAAACTAATGGCCTATTAAGGACATAGTCAGTGCAAAGGCTGGGATTCAAACTCGGGTCTGCCTGAGCTCAGAGCCAAAGCGCTTTCCTTCATGTATGAGGCCAAGGATATTTTCAGCAACCAAAACAATTCCAATGTTTTTCACTTTTGTGCTATTTTCCCAAACCATAAATATTCTCTTTTAGAAACAGCATTGCAAAAGAGTGAGATTGTTGATATCATTTCTGTGAATGTGAAATTCTGACAGCATTTAATTGCTATTTAGTGATAAGGCACACTTCATTGAACATTTCTGGGGGATATGTTTTTCTTTTCTTCTGCCACAGAAAGATGCAATTCAACCAGATGGCCAGGGCACCTCTAACCACACAAGGAAATAATTTGTCACATACCTCTCTGGACTTGATGAGATGATCAATAAGGTTTCCAATGGATATTTCTGATCAGTATTAGATTTCTCAACTAGTATCTCCCCTGTAGGTACACATAACCATGCTTCCCAGTAGAGTTCACGTCAAAATGCTCAATGTCAAGGTCAAATCATCAGAGAGTATGTCCTTTTGGCTGTGTGCTATTGAGCTTAGTTTGAAGACTCATTACTGTTGGCAATGAATTCATCTTAACCACACTGCGTGGTTCATGCTGGCATCGCTATGTGGTCTTGACCACAGAGTTCACCAAATTCAATTACCGCTTCAATAACACTGCGGCACTTGCTGAACTCTAAATAATGAAGGATTTTCTGCAGCCAGCCAATGAGGATGAAAATTGCTGTTACATTAAGCCAGATGTTCTGGAGATAATCAGGAGGGGCAAAGGATAAAGATGGCAAAGTTGTACTGTTCTTCCTAAAGGATGTGTATCTTTCTCCTGTGGACAGGAAAAGGAAGGTCCGCATTTCAGCCCAGCAAGCTCTGCAAAAGAACATACAGAGGGCACAGTTCCATTGGAAGGGCAGAGTTTCCAGAAGGAACAGCCCTTCGGATCTACTGAAAGGGTTTGGGAGTACAGGCTTTGTAATCCAAAAGAGGACGTTGTTTGTATTTATATTTTATTAGCGAAGTCTCAGAAGCAGGCTCTGTTTGCAGCATTGATTCAAAAGACTGAGAAAAGTTACCAAGTCCTTAGCTTGGATTCGATACAAACCAATATGATCCAAGCTGATCCAGCTTTGTCCACTAAGCAAGGCCTTCCTAAAGATCCTGGAAGACCCAGACAGAGGCGATCCCAATAAATGTGTGATCTATTGTAGTTTCTCTGCAAGTTCAGCAGTGACAATCTTCCCGGATGCTGTTCAGAGCATCTCAA